CTGTTTTAATCTATCATTTCTATCCAGACAATTTGGGTTCCACTTGATATGAAGTGCTTCTGATGATATTAGACGTTCTTTGTGATTTCTGAAATGCTTTTTCTGGATGATGATTTCAATATATTGTCGAAATCAATTTTGTGTCCTGATTCTATAGCGTGTAGACCTATGGCTGGCTGATGATTTTTCAAGGTTTTCTAGTTCAACTCGGTCGGTCGGTTTCCGACATAGAACTTTGCACATATGTGCAGCAGTTCAAGTCGCCACACTCCATGTAGCACACAAAGCAAGAGAAGAAAGTAGGAGAAATGCATAATATAGTCAGTAAATAGATGTGTGAGACAAAGGAATAGTAATAACGAAGAACAAAACAGTTTAATTGGAAATCATGTCACAAGGAGTGGATGCATCTGCGCCACTGAGAATGATTTTGAGCCATATCACCAATTGTTTCCAACCATTGGTTTTTACCGTCCCGAGGACCGCAACCAGGAAGTCTACATCTCCCTACGTGGCTTAGATTAACTGTTGTGGATTTCATTGATTGGTGCCATGTTTTGGTTTGACCGCCGCTAGATCCTTTCCAGCCTGGCCCTACATCAGCTAACACTGCCCGTCGAGGAAGGCGATGACTAGGCATACGTAGCACATGTCCTAACCATCTCAGTCGATGTAATTTCAACTGGATTTCTCGGTAATCGAACAGATGCGGCTCTACGGTGTTCCTTTCTACTGATCTTGATTTCTGTCTGGCGATGTTTGTCCGATATATATCGCATCACATTCCAAACATTATATGGACATAAATGGATAGAGAATTCTTTGGAATTTGGTCTTTTATATTGACAAGGTTGTTTCGCAGTGTGTCTGATGTTTTGAAGAAAACTCTGATGTTGTGCTTATTGAGTACTCTTGTAACATCGACTGACGTTTCTGATCTATATGGAATGTCAACTGATGTGGTCCATGTCTTCGGAATACTTTTTCGACCATATTTAATTTTGGTGGTGAAGTTCTTTGGATAGTTATTTTTTTTTGAGAATTTTAGTAATACTTGATGTTTCTTCTTCTTTTTCCTTCTCATGCGTTGTCAGAGTGTGCCCGTCTAAGAAGACTTGAGATAACTGATACCTTTAGATGGTTGGGATGTGATGATGCGAAGTCTAAATATTTGTTGGAGTGCGTTTCCTTCCTGAATAGGGATATATTACAACATCCCTTCTTGTTCCTATTAACTAGACAGTCGGATTTTGCCTCCGAAGTAAACTGGATACTGGGAAATAGATGGTTCAGTTTCTCCAAGATTGAACTGTGTAGATCTCCTTTTAGCATAACGAAAGTATCATCAATGTATCTTAACCATATTTTGTTTGAGATGTTATCTTCAAATGTATTCATGAAAAGATTAGCGACTATTGTGGGAACTCGTCTAGTCTGTCTATATAAATTCCTATTAAATGTAAAATAATTACTTTCTAGACAGAATTTCAAGCTCTTAATTATTTCACTGGTGTCCAGTGGACATCTTTGTGATAGTGTTGTATCTGATTCTAGTAAACGGAAAATGATATCAAGACTTTGGGTGATGCGAATACTAGTATATAATGAGTTAATATCATAACTAATCAAAATACCATCTTTATCAATTTCCCAGTGTTCTGTTTGGACTCACGGTTGACTTGTTTATCCTGAGTTCGGCCAATTCTCAATGAATTCTTCCATTCATGGAAACAAAACAAGAAGTTCAGTGAATATATATTTTTCAGCTGTACAGCTGCATTTATATACAATCTCTTTTTCATGTAAGAAGGTAGTACTTGGAGGAAAAGAAGAATATACTCCCAGCCAAAAGTAAATTTTATCAACCTCCCAACATAAGAAACAAGACTGAACTGATTGTGAAAAACAGCCTACAGACGTCTTGAAAACAACAAAAACTGATCAATTACTTATTAGCTGCCGTCTCTATTGATCATATCTATAACCAACAGGTCCAGTGATACTAAGACTTTATGGTTTACCAAAGATATACAAAGGGATATTTGATCTTTAATATGGAACCAGCAATGGCAGTCTGTAGTAGCCTGTCGTGACGCGCTGGCCAAGTTTCTGACCCATATAGAAGAAGTAAAAGACTGCCTTAAAATTTGTGTTGAACATTCCATGTCCTCATCCTTATTGTTACTTTCATCGAAATAAGATGCATTGGCTAACTGGCTTCCACCAGAACGCATCACTTCGTCTCTACGATTCCAGTGAAGAATAATTTTTTGTTTGATTGGTTGGAGGATTTCATCATGAGCTGACATCAGTTAGAGAACCATTCGAAAACCTCGGAGTACTGGACAGCTTTTTCGTCCACCTAGTTTGGGACTTTTCAGGAGTATGCACTCACCAGGGTTCGAACCCAGGACATTCTGGTTACAAGGTTAACGAGGTCGTAGACCATTAAACAACTGGGACCGGATCCAATGACTGGCCCATGGATTCTAACTTCTGCCAATTCATGCACGACATAGCGCGACCACTTCGCAATGTCTTCTTCGGTGAGCTACTGCCTCAACTCCAACCTGCTGTACTGCTGAAGAGTTCCGTAGCTCGGACGAAACAGCTGTACAGTACTTGCAGGTTTTCCAATGGTTCTCTAACTGATGCCAGCTCATGATGAAATCCTTCAACCAATAAAACAAAAAAAGTCCCTACAAAGCCAATACTTGAAAAATAATTTCTGTGTTTTATACTTTTCTTGCACATTGAAATTTCTGTAATAGTTTGATTAGTTTTCCAGGATGGCTAGCTCCACACCAAACCCTCTTTTCTTTTCCTGGGCTTGGCACCGGCTAGAAAACTAGTAAAGTAAGCGAGGTTAAGTGATTTACTTACCTATTATTAGAATTTTACGAAGTTACCCAGATCTAATGAATTATCATTGACTCATATTCAGTGAGTCTTTAATTTATGCAGACCAGTAAGTGTTGATATCAAAACTTAGAGAATCAAACATTTGAACTTATTGAAAAATAAAACTGTGAAAAAAGATTGAACAGTCCTGTTGTAATTAACATTGTGTTCATGTGAAGGAACAAATAAATTCAAGAATGTATATTCCCACTAATTTACCGTGAATGCCCTCTATAACGAATTCAATACATCATCAGGAATTAAAGGGTAAAACTTACATCTTGACGTGTTTCAGCTCATCCGAACCATCGGCATTAAGAGACAGGGTATCAACGAAACAGATAGCACGCCAATTACCAGTCTGAAAAGACATCTGGATCGCTGGGCAAAGCACTTTTAGCAGCAGTTTAGCTGGCCATCAGCGTCAGCATCTACCGTTATCAGCTAAAATGCTCCTTGGTCGGTCAATACCTATCCACCAATCAAAGTGGAGGTCCGAAAGAAATTCCTAGTGATGAAACGCCATTAGGCATCCGTCACAGACAATCTACCCCTGACTATTTTCAAAGATGCTGGTGAGATTCTCGTCATGGTTGTGACTGGATTATACAGGAAAGTATAGAAAATCTGTGCACATTCAAGACCTGGCCTCTCCAAGCTGATGATGTGATCATAGCTGCCCCCCCCCCCCGAATGGCTAGCGTTCCATGGCGTCATCGTGCGAGTAATTCTCTGGTCCGACGGCGTGTGTTTGGAGACAGTGGAAATCACCATTTGTTGAGTCTCGTCATCTGAAAATACCGGCTTCGGTGGTTTGGACATGTGCTATGAATGTCATGCCAGGGACTCCCGTACCGGTCTCTGTTCGCTAGCCCTAAGATGGGATGGAAGAAACGGAGGGGTGGTCAGTCCATGACGTGGCGTTGTGGGCATCTTACTTTACTTTGTGGGCATCGGTTGGTGGTACATCACGACTCCCTAGTTGGTGTCCGAGAGTTAGTGCGAGTCGGTGGCTCGAAACGTTATCGGATATGGTGAAGAATCGTAATCAATGGTGAATTTGCTGCAATTCCCTTTTCTATTCCTTTCTCGACGATAATTGACGAATGCAGTTTGAACTTGTTAAATATGACTGTTTTCCTTGCAGATGGTGTACTTTATTCATTCTCCACCTATGACTTTACTTATCTTATATTTTATTATTGTGAAGCGAATCTTCTTGGTGCCATATTGTTGTACCAAGGCTTTTTTGTGTTTAAATAATAATAACAATTTCGTGGACTGATTTTCCCCACGCACCTACCTAGCACTCGACTGATGCCTAACCTGAATACTACTCCCCCTATTATACCACCACTTAACATGGGAAACAGAACGTAGACGCCTATGATCAAAGATAGCTGCTAGCCAGGCTTTTCATGCTTTCCACTTTCAATGGCTATATTATCTACAGTTGAAGAGGAACAGAAATTCACCGAAAAAACAGACTCTTCACTGAAGACTACTCGTCTTTTTGTCTCGTTTTCATTAATAATGTTCGGATGGCAATGATTCACGAATTTAAGAAAAAAGTAGATGCAATATTTATGACTAGATGGAAGTAGCTCAGTAGTCCATTCCAGATTTCGATGGACGATTTCATCATGAGCTTCCATCAGTTAGAGAACCACTGGAAAGCCTGGGAATACTGGACAGCTGTTTCCTCCGTCCTAGTTTGTGTCTCTTCATCAGTACGCACCCGCTGGGGTTCGAACCCAGGGCCTTATGATCACCAGATCAACGGGCTCGAAGACCATTGCGACCCGATCCAACGCCCAGACCATGAATTTTAACTTCTGCCAATTCATGGATGACATAACGCGACCATTTCGCAATGTCTTCTTCGATGAGTTATTGCCTCCCAACAGAACCCCAGGTCACCGCCTGAATCAGCCCAGTTGCTAGTGTGCATCACATTTCTTTTTTGTAAACACAGTTTCATTCCAAACAAATTATATATTATTATTTAGTTAGTAACCAAAGAAAATATGAATGACAAAACTTTTCTAAACTAAATAATGAACAATAACTGAGAAGAAGAAGAAGAAGGAAAAGAAGATGATAAAGCGTAAAAAAGAATAACAATGAAGAAATCAATTTTACTGTGCAGTTTCGCTAATTACTGTAACAACACACTGTGCAAAATGCTCTCAATTCTGTATGACATACATACTACTGATATACACTGATTTAAAGTAGTATACAACAAATTTTCGAAAATGATGTACATGCAAGAATAATAAGGCAATAGGAGTCGAAGACAGGCAGGCAGATGGATAGGTGAGAGATAGACAGTAAGTAATGCGAATCTGATATCATAAAGACTGATTATGCAATAACTGTATACAATCCAATCTGGGGGTGAAGGGTGCGGTGTCGTGTGGGGGGTGGGGTTGACCACATCACTGTGTGGTGAGAAGAAGACTGTCGGTGTTTAAACTATCCTTAAGGCAGAGAGTCACAGGATTACGAGACTTCATCCTTCAATATTCTGAGATATTAATTTTTTTAGAGAGAGAGTGTGTGTGCAGAGTGTGATAGTAGAGTAATATATGATAAACTGTCGGATATATTAGTAAAAATCGATACGAACCACAACTGTGAAACAATTAGGCATTTGAAGACGGCTGACTTCGTCGAGAAAAGACACAATATTAGTTGCTTCTACAAAAGTAACACTATTTGAAAATAGCATGTGTAAAAACATTTCAAAGAACGAGACTGCAGAAAAGGCTGGAAGTAAAAGTGATTGCATGCTTGTCTTCTTGTTCTGAACAGGCAGGCAGGCACACGCATACACATCACACTAAGTTGTTCCAATATTTACAAATTTCTCCTTTAAACTTTCAAAAATTGCAATCATTATTGCAGAAGCGCTTGTTGTTTTAATCAATCTGGGTGTAAAACCTATTTTTTTTAAAGAAAAAACAGCAAATGAAAAAGAGAAAAGATGGAATTAACTGTCTGTGATAAAAAACTTTTCCAGTAATATTAACTGCTGACCACGTTCCGAGCACAAACTATTGCTGCTCATAATCATATCAAGGCACTACTTACACAACTTTTTTCCTTCATTTATATACATGTGTGGAATCGATTAGATTTTGGAATAAAAATCAATAAAAGATGATAAAGTACATTCAGAAATAATAATATGAGTGTTATCGATCAAGTACAATCAGATAGGAAATAGGACGAGTGTTTTTATAGCCAAAATAAGTAACTTGTTAGAATGTTGTGATGTGCTTGAATTGAAATAGAATTTTGAGATTATTTATTATCCTCTTCTGATTCGACTGACTGGTGGTAATAATATCTTCCATATCTCTGGTATGTGAGTTAAGTCACTTCTATTGCATGTGTTGTGTTGGGTGTAGACTCAATGAACAAGGTAGGATTCAGTAATCAATCTCTCTGTCCACCTACCTATATTACTTTTTGGAATTTTGACTCTGTCCCACTCACCCTATTGTGTGGTTGTGTGTTAGTGCATGCTGTGTGACTGCTGTGCTTTTACTAAATTACTTATCTTCTCTAGGTCAACCATTCTAACCTTAGCTAAATTCTTAGGTTCCGACAATCTGATCACTCACGATCTAGTAGTTTGACCTATATAGTTGACCTGACTCACAGTCATTGCAATGTACTTTGTAAATTATATTATTTTGTTTAATTGGATTCACCGGGTCTAATCAATTCCACACATGTATATAAATGAAGTAAAAAAGTTGTGTGAGTAACTTGATATGATTATGAGCAATAGTTTGTGGTCGAAAGGTGTTCATCAGTTAATATTGCTGTATAACAACACTGTTTGATTAATCAAAATAAAATCTTATCCATAATGGAGTTATACTCTACCACCACAGTGCCCAAGTTTTATACTTACATCAAAAAACTTTTTTATTTTTTCTTCGAATTGGTTCACTGATTGATTGACACTACTTAAAGTGAAGAAGATATTTGAGCCTTTCATAGAATACTTTGCGCCGGTAGCACAGCGGTACAGTGCTCACCGACCATCCATGTAATCCGGGTTTTGATCCCCCGCCGACTCACTCCTTTACCTCGGTAAGCCAGTAGTAAGATTGGTAAAGAGGGAAGGTCCGGCATGAGGCTAGCAACGCCATCCTGTAAAAATAATCACCAATGCTACAGAAACTTCAAGCCTCTAGCTTGAAGTAGCCGTATGTTCCACTGGGAAAGTAAAGGAATAAAAAAATAGAATAATCGATGATGGTAGCTAGTGTCGTGCGTCTAATCCTTTGTTTGATGCAAATGAAATTCTATCAGTCAAGTTTGCAATATGGCTACCATTATTCTAGGTGGCACAGTCCGTTACGGTGGACATTCTGAATAGGTGTTATTAGACAGCTGGAAAAGATCTACAAGAAGTCTTCGACCGAGGTCTCGCGCTAGTTGGCACTCATTAGCAACAACAAGGCATACCTACAGTATCGAAGCAATTCACTTCACTTGTGTAAGAAATTTTAAAAAGATATGAGTAAATTTTTCAACAAAATAACGAAAAAAAGTGAGTTTTTTTCTTACCAGAGAACAAGGCAGGAAAACCGTTTCTTCTGTACAAATTAAGTAATGATGCCCATGTTGATGTTGGATAAGAATGACCTATATTCATAGAAAACAACGGGGAAAAAAGAGTGATAGTAGATATGATGTATTAACAACTTGTGTAAACACTGACTAACAATCCATTGCATCGGGATTGATCACAAGCTGACATCAGTTAGGTAGAGAAGCATTATTAGAAAACCACCAACAGGGAGTACAGGACAACTAGTTGTTTTAATCCTAGTGCTTGGGACTCTTCAACAATACGCAGCCACCACTTCCAGCGCTCGAACCCAGGGCCGCTAGAGTTGAAAGGCAAGCTCGTAGTGCCCATTCAGTCATTGGGAACCCGATTGAATGGCCACTGCATGAATTCCAACTTCTGCCAATTCGTGATATATATGTATATATATTCGTTTAGTGAGAAGTAATAACCAGCGGGGTGCACGAAGTCAGGCAAGAGGACATTTAGTCACCTATGACATTGGTTGGAGATTGTGAAATCATTGCACAGAGTCCCAGCGGTGGAATGATCACTACGACCTCGCCTAGTAATCGGAAGGCTTGGGTTCGAACCCTATAGAAGCGGAGAGTGCGTACTGCTGAACAGTCCTAAGCACTAGAACGAAATAGCTGTTCAGTATTCCTCAGCGGTTCTCTAACTGATATCAGCCCGTGACCAATCAAATTCCTGCAAACCAATAATTGATAGTCCACTGAATCACAAAATGACACATCTACCTAGAAATGTAGAAAAACTCGAAAATTATGTCTAAGTGTGTTGACTTTATAGAATATTCGATTGAGATTATCGTAGATTTCATCAAGACTATTAATATTAATTAGAGAAATATTGAAAAGCAAAGAGAATTAGACGGTAGGAACTTTTCACAGCAGAATGTGCCCATTACAACCTCATCAAGGATTGAAATCACGTCTTCAAAAGGTTACCAACAGGTAAGCCCGTTAACCCTATTCGGTCACACTGAGCAGAAATGACCCAATGATTCAATACTCGCTTAGTTTATAACTGTTTACCAATTGATGTTGTTTGTTCATGAGTAAATTTTTCTTTACATAAATTCTAACTACTAATGCTGTTTAGCACTGCTCCCATAAATGACCTGGTATAAACCAAGGGGTAGGTAGACTTCGATATTCCTATCGAAATGCTCTCATGTAGCCTCGCGTTCATATCCATTGCAACATAAGTCCTATGCACGGTTTTCTTGCATTAGGAAAGGGGGTTCCCCACAAAAATCAGTGTATTAGGACACCTGATCCCAATCCTATGGGTGTACATGGACTCCAGTATCCGAACTAACCGAATGGTGTACGAACCTGGCTTGGTCACTGAAAATAATGGGTACATAGCTTCTGACACTGCTCTTACTCACTGGTTTGTGAACCAGACTTCAATTCAAAGACTAGAAGTAGTCCCTTAAGTCAACCACCACCTTCTGCAGTGATGGCGGCACTAATTAGTCTCTCTCTCTCTCTCTCTATATATATATATATATATATAAACGAATTAATGCCGCATTGATCGCAATTCAGTGGTCAGAATCGTCCTATACCAGTTGAGATTAATAGACAATGATTGTAGCATTGTCACGTTTTAGCCCGAATTTTCTTAGTCATCACTTACTCTCTTCGTGATTGTGCTTTTGCTACAGGTAAAAACTGATTGAATTAATTTAGATAACTCATTTCAGTGAAAAGCTTCACCAAGTGGACTTTTTGTCTTCTTGGCTAGGCAAAGGAACAATAGAAGTTGACAACACTACCTAGTCTTTTCTTATATCTGCCAAAGAAACCCAAGCAATGTTAGTTGCGAAGATAATTAATGTCTGTCATTTTATACCTTACAACCATAGAGTAAGATAGGAAAAAGTCTGACCGACTGACTGACTGAGTTTCAACCGAAAACTACTTTGCACAAAAGGGCAGCAATTCAAGTCCACACTCCAAGTACCACACAGAGGTAGGCAGAAAAAGAGATTTAAAAGGAGGGAATACATCTGCAGTATTGAGAAGGATTTTGAGCCTTCATCACCAACTGTCTCCAACCTCTCGACGGAAACCTCACTCAGGCAATCTATACTACCCTATGTGGCTGCCACAAACCAACTGACAAAGAATTCTTGGACTAATTCCAGATTTTAGTTTTATTATTATTATCATCATGGTTCCCTTGGTTTGCAAGTGGAACATACGGTTTCTATTTCCTGCTGTCCTCTCTAGCTGAGCCCACAACTGCCCATAATCCCTCTCACTTACTCCTCTCACACGATCTCCTCCACAACACCCTCGGACCAACAACCCACTCGTCGTTTCCCATTTGGGTTCCACTCGACCAATGACCTGCATTACGTGCGATGTCATTCGATGGTCTCTTTAGCGTATGCTCAGTCCATCTCCGTCTCCCCCTACATATTTTTGAACGATAGGTTCTTGGTTCACTTGTTCCCATAGCTTCTTGTTACCAACTCTTCCTGACTGGCCATTTCATCGGCAATATGGAGCCAGTGAAGCCGGCAGCTGTTGATAAAAGTCTGTAACTTGTTGGAAATGCTTTTCGTAATGCCACCAGGTTTCCGACCCATATCGAAGAAGTGACTGACTACTTAACATTGATGTTGGGGATCCGAATCTTGTTTCTTTATGCTAACTGAGTGCAGAAGATCACCAAACTGATTTCGGATTGATGAAAGTGTATCTTGCCTTTCTTATTCTTATTGTGGTTTGATCATACCTAACTCTCTTTTCTAATTCAATTCTATGTGTCAGCTAACATTTCTCATCGAGGAAGACGGTGATGTCTCGGCATACAACTATGAACCACTTGTCCTAAACATCTCAATCAATGTAGCTTCATAACCTCACATCGATTGACTGCCCTTCCTTGCCTGGTACTTTATGTCTAACCTCAATAATTCCCATCAATATCATACTACTTAACACAGGATACTTGAATGCAAACACATGTGATCAAAGACGGAGAAGTGATAAACAGGATCTACCACTTCTCTTCCTATTTCACAATATCAGTCAAGGGAGAATCGTGTGTGTCGAAAAATTCGAAGATTTCTCTCTGTTAAGAGTGTGTTCAAAAGACTCTAACATTAAGAACACACTACTCACTACACTTAAGGGGTTGTTAGTGAGAATTCGATTGCCTGAAACATATTTCTCTGATGCACGAAGAGGTATAACGTGCGAAAGCTGATAAAACTGTAACGACAGAATACAAGCGCCAGGAAACAGATCATTTATTGAGAAAATCAACAGATATTTATAGATTTTTATGTACATTATTGTGAGCGGAGAAGCAACCTCTTTTGATTGGTTGTTTTCTTGCTGAAGGCTATTCTGTACTCCTTGTGACTGCTTCTCAGAAAGTTAAGCCATATATCTGCGAATCGTATTTGCACAAGTTAAATCTGCTGTGACTGGTTGGTGAGTTCCTCAAGGCTAAGCTTTGTTATTGTTTTTCTCATGACCCTGAGTCGGGATGTAAACATTGAGGTAAATTGATGTCTGCAATTTTTGGCTTGCAGACAGCTCTCACCACAATAGCACCTACCTAAAGCATCTACGCTAAATCAGGTGGAGCGAAAGTCACACACAGTGGGTGTCTATCAACTAAAAGTCAAATGAATACTCCAATACGCAGCATCCTACATCTAACTGGTGGACAGGATGTAAGGCTAACTGACATTTTATATATGTATATACCAACCAGTAAGATTTAACCTCTTTGGTTAATTCTGTCATCGATATTACTAATGTTATTCAATATAAAAGACTGATTGAATCAATTACGAAGTGGATTATTGATAAAAATAATAATATGCGTTTGTGCGTAGGTGGCACAGCGGTAGAAAGCTCGCCGATCAAACAGGTGGTCCGGGGTTCGACCCCCGGCCACCGACGCACTCCTTTTGCTTGCTAAGCCAGTAATAAGACTGGTAAGGAGGGAAGGTTGGTCGGGCATGAGGCCAGCAACCCTATCCCGTAAAAAGTAAACATACGACTGCTACAGAAACTTCAAGCTGGAAGCTTGAAGTAGCCCTATGTTCCAGCAGTGGGAACATATAGGAATAAAAAAAATATGGGTTTATGTGACAATGAAACTAACTTACTACATGCTAGCGAGTGATTACCAAAATCAACTTGTCTGTGCGTTTTAATCACATCGAAAGGATGCGTTATTACTCCAGAAATCTATAAAATTCAAAAAAATTAAATTAAATTAAAAGTACAATAAGAATTATTAATTTTTATGTTGCTTTTTTAATTAAGAATAGAACTTGGGTACTGTGGTGGTAGAGTATAACTCCATTATGGATAAGATTTTTTATTTTGATAAATCACACACAGTGTATTATACAGTAATGTCATCTGATGACCACGTTTCAAACACAATTTATCATTGCCACTCATGATCATATCAAGGCACTCACTCACACAACTCACTTTCTTGCTTCATTGATATACAAAAGTAAAAATTGGTGATAAGACATCTGAATGCAATCAATATAAGATAAAGTACGTTCAGAAATAATAATATGAGTGTTATCAGTCAAATACAATCAGATGGGAAATAAGACGAGTGTTTTTATAGTAAAAATTAGTAACTTGTTAGAATGTCATAATGTACGTGAATTGAAATAGAATTTTAAGATTATTTTTTATCCTCCTCTGATTTGACTGACTGGTGGTCATAATATCTTCCATATCTCTCGTATTTGTGTTGAGTCACCTCTATTACATATGTTGAATGTAGACTCAATGAACCAGGAAGGATTCAGTAATCAATCTCTCTCTCCTCTCCTCTCCACCTTCCTATATTACTTTTTAGAATTTTGACTCTGTCCTACCCACCCTATTGTGTGGTTGTGTGTTAATGCATGCAGTACGATTGCTGAGTTTTTTTCTAAATTACTTATCAATTAACATTATAACATTCTAATAAGTTATTTATTTATTATGAATATAAAAACACTCGTCTTATTTCCCATCTGATTATATTTTATTGATAAAACTCATATTATTATTCCTGAATGTACTTTATCTAATAAAGTATAATTATATTTCAATAGTTTACACACAATGATAAGTTTTGTTATTGGTAATATTTATCTTATATTGATTTTATTCAATCAGATGTCTAATCACCAACCCAGATCACAATCAGAAACGGTATGACTTATTAACTAACAAACAAATTCAAGTGGTGATTAAACTGAGTTAAAATACTCAAGTATTTACGTAAAATGCGATGGTAGTACATAGGTGCGTATAAATCACCGTCAGTGGGGATGAATAGCAACCGGGGATCGTAAGACATATACATGATTATTTACAGACTTTTTTCCGCTCTACGTTCTGAGTGGAGCACATGGCATCAAGCAGCCCCTTTGAAGTACTGGTAGGAATGGCTTAATTTCTACAGGGTGGGGTTGCTAGCCTTACACCCAACCTTCCCTCTTTACAGAACTTACTACCGGTTTAGCGAGGTTTAATTTACATCGGCCAGGGATCGAACTTTGGGCCATCTGTGCACGGTTGGCGAGCATTCATTCTACCGCTGAACCACCGACCCACTATTGACAGACTACATCTCCAGTGTACACCGGAGATTACAGGACAGCCTCAGCGACTATTCGTGTGACTGACTGATTGACTTTCAACATAGTACTTACCTCAGAAGTGCGGTAGTTCAAGTTGCCACACCCTATGTAGCACACAAACGATAAGACAAAAGAAATTCTAAAGAAGTATTCAAGTGTTGGTTTGCAGGGATTTGATTTGATCGGTTACAGGTTTTCATCATGAACTGACACCGATTAAAAAACCACTGGAAAACTATTTGGGAGTTCTAGACAGCTATTTTGTCCTGGTTTGTGACCCTTCATCAGTACACACCCACCACAGGAGTTCGAACCCAGGACCTTCCGATTACAAGGCGAGCTCGTGTGCCGTTATGTCAGGTACCAATGGCTTAATAGTCTACGAGCTCGCCCTGTAACCAGAAGGTCCTGGGCTCAAACTCTGGCGGGTGCGTGCTGCTGAAGAGTTCCTATCACGAGGACGGAACCGTTGTCCAGTACTCCCAGCTGGTTTTTCAATGGTTCTCTAACCAATATCAGCTCATGATGAAATCCTGTAATCTAAATAAGTATAATGAACAGAATTGTGCGCGAGAAAGAATAGTAACGTAAGAAAAAATGACGGTTTAATGGATTTGGGAGATCACAGAGAGCGAATGCATCTGCAACAATCAGAACGATTTTGAGCCATACCACCAACAGTCGCATGCCAGGCGGCAATCTACACCTCCATACGTGATCAGCTCAAACTAACCACCAAAGATTTCACGGATTGTTGACATATTTCGATATGACCACTCCAAATACGTTTCCGACCTAATCCTATATCGCACGACGAGATGGGCGGTGGCTCAGTGTGCGCAACATAAATATATCCCAGACATCTGAATCTATGCAGCTTTGCAACCTTATTGATTGTCTTCCGCTGCCTACCGAAAACAAAACATGTAGTTGTTCAGCGAAAAGGCTCTTTTCAGTGAATCCACTTTCACTCTTAGCTGTACAATCCCATTTATGTACAAGGATGATACAATTCTTCTCTTACGAATATGGCACGTTGTCTTCCTTGAAATGCAGGTTCATATGAAGTTTCCATTTCCCATAGGTATCCATTTTGGAAGAAGGTTTCATTCAGATCTAGTCGCCTTTCTAGAGCGTCAGTACTACAGTTGCATCGTATCTGAGTGGATACTTGTTAGTTGACTGTTCCAAGTAAGTTTTCTATGAACTGGCCTTCTTAAGATTCCGTTGGGTTGTCTTTTTAGTTCCACATCAAGGAATTTTATTGCCGGATGGCAGTTGTTTAATACTTGTAGAAAGCCATGTATGAAACAGCCTGTTAGTAGTGGATCCACGGCATACCCGATTACAATACCATCATTTTGCTTGTAGATGGTGTCATTGGAAACGAACTGTATATTGAGAGTAACTTCCCTTGCTTACCCAACACTTAACGCCTCAGCCTCAATCATGACTCATCAATATGATACCCACTTAACACTGATTCGCTTATTTAGCTATCATATTACACACACACACATCACGTTTTGAAAACAAAGAATACAGAATCGATAAATGCATAAACTTACCAAGCCAGCCATTGCTCCAAAACTTAATGCATACGTGAACTGTACTGCATCAAGAGTATTTGATGATGTATTGTGTGGGAGTAAATTAAGCCTTGATTGATCATTGATATGATGCGATTTCATATAGTCATAGGTTAGCCAAAATATCATGGAATACGGGACATCACGTAGAAGAGTTGGCCCAGTGCCTAACCACAGACTCTTTATGCCGTCCTTATTAACAAAAAATAAGTGAAAATATTAACTAGGAAGTACATGTTAAGCATATAAATTAAAGAGACGCGGGAGACAGGCTTTTTAAATTAAATTACCGCTTTTCAATTAGAACAAAGCAAGACAGACGAAGTTCCTGTGAGAAGTCGTGAGCAGAGATCTCCACCATGTGAGGAGTTACTCCCCGATCACGTTGCCAAGGCAGAAGCTGGAATTCACGGGTGGTGGTTTCTCGCTGAACGTTAATCTTTCATCTCTTTGTGGCTGTTTATTGAAGTTCAGATTATCTATCTGCAAATTGTATCTGCCTACGCAAAGTCTGCTGTGATTGGTTGTTGAATTAGTCTTTGTTCTTCTTTTTCTTATGACCAATATTGGGGACGTAAACATTGACGTCAATTACTGTCTACCAATTTGACTAGCAGCCAGCTCTCACCACATTCATCCCCCCGTCAAAGACTTGCGACTGAAGTTGGTTCGGTCTTCTTGGTTCTTAGAGGCTTTGCTCTTTTGTCTTGCTGTCTGGAATCTCGGCGCTTGCGGATGTTCACCTGTTTCTCTTTGTTTACCATTGCGATTGTGTCTGCGTAACCCCATCTCAAAGTAACCATAGCTGGTTCTTCCCACTTTGGAAACTGTTTGCCTGACCCTGTCGCACATTCATCGGTATTTCGCCTCACACTTTCATATGCTGCTTTCTCCCGACCTCCCAGCAGCGTCCCAAGTAACAGCCTCATCGCGAACAGATCTGGAATGCCACTCAACTGCGCAGAAGCCTCGAAGTCCTGCTCGAAGATCCATATGTCTCCATCGAAAGCTGCAGGGCACAGGCTCTCCATTTGTCGGTAGGCAGCGACACCAAATGTAACAACAGAATGCAAGTGCCAGGCAACATATCGTTTGTTTAGGAAATCAACACATATTTATGGATTTTCATGTACATTATTATAGATTATTGTAAGCAAACAAACACAGTCTTCTGATTGGTGGTTTCTCGCTGAACGTTAATCTGTCATCTCTTTGTGGCCGTTTTTTGAAGGCCATACTATATATATGCGAATCGTATCCGCCTACGCAAAGTCTGCTGTTATTGGTTATTGAGTTAGTCTTTGTTCTTGTTTTTTTCTTCTCATGGCCAAGATTTGGGACGTAAACATTGACATAAATTGGTGTCTACCAATTTTGGCTAGCAGACAGCTCTCACCACAACCTTGTAACAGGGAGATCCTGCGTTCAAAACCCGGCGAGTGCGAACTTCTGAAGTGTCCAACGCCAGGACAAAACAGAATTCCCTTACTTCTAAGTTTTCCAATAGTTCTCTCTAACTCAGGTTATGTTGTGGTCAAACATTCAACTAATCAAATCCTGAAAACCAACAAGTGAAACAAAAACTCAGTCGTGCAGAGACCGTTGACACTTGAAAAGCATAGCGACTACCAGCTTGTTAATATTTTCAGCAAGAGGTCACACCTAATTCTTGCCCGAGCTGCATTCCCCCCCCCATACAGAAATTTACTTATATCGATCAAGGAAACTAGAACAAATGGCCACATATTTGCGTAGTATTATCTATTCTAGAAAATGTAACTTGCTACGGCGGTAAACTGTGCTTAGACATCCAGTAGGAGGATGTGTGCTGAGTTCAAGTCTCAGTGAAAAAACCATCACTCAGTCAGAACTGACGAGTTCCATGCAAGAGGTTGTGCATCCATCTGTTAGCCACTGTTAACCAAATATCCTTCACTAGTATAGACATATTCTGTCACACATCTTTCTGTAAAAGACTTGAACCTTCCTGTATTACTTCATACAATTAGTTCCCTTGAGATATTTGAATAACCCAATTAGAAACACTTTTCTGGGATAGAATAAATTCAGACAATTAGTCCCTTTGATAAATTTGAATAAGGCATTTAGAAGACAAGGCATAAAAACAAATCGATGGTGTTGCCATGGGGAACTCTCTTGGGCCCCTGTTAGCAGATATTTTCATGTCGAAATTGGAAAAACAAATGCAAGGTATGTTTGGCGAATTTACGCTATATAAACGTTATGTAGATGATACACTCATTATTGGTAATAATAGTAAATCTATTGAAAACTTTATTACCCTATTTAATCCTATTCATCCAAATATACGGGTGACTTCCGAAATCGAATCGAATAACAAACTCGGTTTCCTCGATATTAAAATGACCAGGAGAGATGATGGAACGATTCAGCGATCTATTTTTCGTAAACAAACATGGATTGGACAATATTTTCATTTTACCAGTTTTGTTCCTATCCAGTATAAACGTGAAATGTTTGTTCTCAAGGGCCCGAAAAATATGCACGAGTGATACATTGATGGATGAGTTTCGACATATACATTCAGTTTTATTAGCTAATGGTTATCCGGAGAACTTCATCACTTGTCACAGTAAAGAAAGACCACATCTCGAAAAGACAGCTTCTGTACCAAAGAAAGCTATCTTTGTTAACCTACCTACCATATTCAAGGGTGACCAGATTATGCAGTTGACAGCTCAAAGACTTCGGTCAGCCATCAAACGCACATTCTACGCCGCCACATCTCTTTTTCTCACTTGCCGAATATTTTCGATCCCTGTACCTACGATTAAAGGACTAAATTCTGTGGAATCTACTTCTAACTGTATCTACAAATTCACCTGCAGCTGCGGTGACACCTATATAGGTAGAACCAAGAGAATGTTTCAATGTCGTCGAAAAGAACATGTCCCAAAATGGTTACTAAAACATATAGAAAATCCAAATACAATTAATTTGAAGAGAAATCCAGCATCATCCATTGCAAAACACTTATTAATGTCAGGTCACAAAATCAATATTAATTAATCACTGTTTCACAATGATTTCACCACATAACTGTAATTCAAGGTTGATGATTGAAGGTGATGGAAGCACTTTGGATTAATTACACACAGCCTAAACTGTGTGTACAAAAAACAACAGACTTCAATCTTCGCCTACCCTGGACTACATGACCTATCTAAATATGATTGGTCATTAGTATGTACCTTTTGTGTTTTTTATTTAACTGAGTAATTATCATGAACTTTATTTTATTTTATTACTGTTAACCATGTTAGTTGTAAAGCGGTTGTAAAGAAATTACGAAATGACAATATCATCTCGCGAAATTTGCCTTCTAAATGCCTTATTCAAATATGATAAATTCATTTGAATAACAAGTCAAAAATTCAGACAACGTATAAAACATGCGGGAAGCTAGAATAATCAATTATAATCAAAATAAAAACATTTTCTGTTGTACAGAGAAGAATGTTCTGCAATTTAAGGGTAATTCACTCACTGCCAGAGATGCGACTACACAGTCACTAACTAATCGAAACTCTAATCAATAAATTATCTTTCCGCCTATCCAATCATTCCTACATTGCAAGGAGGATTGATTCTCTTCTCAAGTCAGTTACAGAATTCAATCATCATGTAGATGCTGGAATTACTCTTGATTCACGGCTTGCAAGACTTGAAGATCTGTTCGAAGTAGAATTGGTCAAACTGGACAGCTCAGAGAAAGTTCAAGCTCTCCTTCGTAAACGTAATGAGTGTCATTTGGTCGTAGTTTTCCCAGATCTGTAATTTGTGAGACAGTTAAGAAGTCATCTACTTCCCATTTGGCTGTTGGTTTCGTAGTGAATGGAAATACCTTCACATGTTTGCGCTCATACAACAAAGGTGAATGTAACGAATGCTACAAATATTAGTCATAAAGGAAGATTTTGCAAGCCTAGCTTTCGTGGTGGGTTCATATTCAAATCCTTCCAGTCATCACAGATCGATGTCTATTCCCAGAAAGAAGATCAAGGCGGTTTTCAATGTTTCTACTGTGCAAACATTAAACTAAAGGAAATACATAGACGTACTCGTGAATGATTGCTTAGTTCGTCATCAGATTGACACTGATTCAGACATTACTTTGATCTTGTCATCCAACTGGATGTTCACCAATTTCCAGTAACTGTGGTGCTGCTAAATATGCTTTTGGGGATATTTAAAATAAGTTCGTCAAATCTCTTACGATCTTTAATTCATGTCAAAGGGTTTTAAAGGTTTATTTTATCTTACCAATCATTACGATTTGAATCCTTGTATGGGGAACTGATTCGATTGATAAACTGTCGTTCACGCAAATACCTTTAAATTCAGTATGTCCACAAGTATAGGATTATGTTTCAGAATACCTGTTTTCGGAAATGTAGATCAATCTGATAAGTGTTATGTGCCACGAACATAAATCATTATTTGGTGAGACTCCGGGTTGTCACCCACTTCAGGATATCAAATCACACCTTCGAAATGATGCTATGTCTCTTTAGAAACACGAAAGACCACTTCATCATGCAGCTCCTGAATCAGTCAGTCGGTCTGTCGGTTGGTCAGTCGACTGTCACACCGATCACAAGAATTAGACGCTCCGAATTTCTCCACATGACCAGCACCAACTGTTGTAGGTGAGGAAGGTAGGTGGAGTAGTATGCATTTGTGCAGTTTCCTCTACTGCTTTGAACTATACTTTTGAAGACCATTCCTACTCACTACTGCCACTACCAGAACAGATGATATTTTTGACAAGCTCAGTGGTGGATAATATTTTGCGAAGGGGAAGAAAGAAAGGTGATACAAACTCTGGTTGATAGCAATTATCCAGACAAGTTCATTAGGAGATATAAAGTAGTCAGTGGAACGCCAAGACCCACTCTACAACTCGCCCCTAAGAAAGACGTGTACATCAAGCTACCTTATATGTGCCATCATAACAGCTTGATAACTAGACAAAGATTGAACGCTGCTGTGGTTAAAAAGACTTTTTATGCAGCTAATATCATAATAATTGAGAATGTGAAGCTAATTTATCCATCCATCTAAGCCCTTTGAACATGCGAAAAATGATGTCACATCCCACTGTATTTACCAATTTAAATGTACGTGTGGACACACACACAAATAGGGAG